CCTCCAGGGTCCCCCACGCGGGGGGGCACCGTCCGCAGAGCCCAGCTGGTCACCTTCCTCCAGAGCCACAAGCACCCCCAGGCACCCCCAGGGGAGAAGGTAAATGGGGGAGCGAGCACCCCGCCGCACCCAAAAAAGCTGGTTTTCCACCCAAAAATTAACACATCACCTTCCCCCAGCTGGCCGCCGCGGGGACGCTTGGGGACAACTGTGCCATTGAGCCCGTCATGCTACAGTTCTCGCCGTGGACCTCCCTGCACCAGGTTTGGGGTGGGGGGGGACACGTCCCGATGGGGTTGGGAGCCACCAACCCCCCCCCAACTCTGCATCCCAGGAGGGGACGCAGCAGGGTGGCTTTGTCCCCACACGTCCCCGTCGTCACCTCCCCAAGGCCCATCACCTCTTCGAGCTGCTGAAGCTGCAGCGCATCTTCGTCACCCGTTTTGGGGAGCTGGTGGGAGCCGTCACTTTTCTGAGAGTAGCGTGCACGGCTGACTTTCTGGGTAGATGGAGTCTTTGAAAAATCAGATGCCTTTTTTCCTAGTCCTTCTTCGCTAATATTTGAGCAGGCCATTTTTGTCTTTGGTTTCATTTCTTTAGCATAAATAATAAAGCATATTTAATGGGTTAGGAGACATCAGAAAGAATCTTATTTTTCTACTTCATGACAGACAGAAGGATGTAGTACCTCGGCCCCAGATGAAGCTAATAATCTTCAGCCATTGCCACAGGTTTCCTGTTAATTTCAGAATACAGAGCCTTGCAGCTATTCTATAGGGTGCCAGGTTACAGAAAAATATTTATTTACTTTCTTCCTTAGTGTGGTGTATTTGTTTTCCCTAATTCTTTTCCACTTATCTAAGGAAAGTAAATCTAATGACTAAGTAATCTCTCACATAGGATTTTGTTTCAGATTTCTTATCAGCTGCCATTGTGCAAATGTAATCTGAGTAATAGGAGAAGAACTGTTACCATATGTATGTTTCTTTGATAGTTTTAGTAAAAAATAATAATTTATATAGTTTTTCCATGGTTTAAGCCAGTATATTAGCCAGATTTTGCTCATGACACACTTCCCTTAATGGACAGAGAGAGTACGCAGCTGGTGGGGCTTTACTGACTTTCCTGAGTAACGTTTCAAATTCTTTATTTATTTTTTTATTAGGTATAATCTCTGTTAGGTGGAAGAAATAGTACAAATCTGCAAAGATTTGTCATGGTGTTCATGTATTAAAGTTGCATGCACATGCTTGGGCAGGATGTGTACTGGCAGTGATACCGCAAAATAGTACTAGCAATTACTACTTGTTGCAGAGTTACCTAGAAAACGGGATCTATCTGAGATTGTGCTCAGGTAAGTTATATTCCTGAGAACTTTAGAACCTAATCATTTAAATTGTTAGTTCTCAAAATCTGGATCCGTTAAATTTTATCTTGTCTTGCAACTGCAGCCATTTCTTACAGCTGTAGGTACCCTAGATGTCCGGTGCCACTCAGGAACATAATTACAAATATCTTGATTGTGCGGCGTTGTCTGGTACTTGTGCTATTCCCAGACAGCAGCAAGATTCAGAAACAATGTATTTTACCGGCTGGGCACTTACTAATCCACATCTTTTCTTACACCTCATTTGGAACACATAAAGAAATAGCTTCAGCTGGTGGGATTGGAGGTTTTGTGACATGTCCAGCTCGCATTCAAAGCTTTGCTGCATATTAGCTAGAGGAAGGACTGCAAGACAGATTGTTTACAGCAGGTGTTTTTGAGTGTTAATTGATCAATTGCTACAAAGACACTGATATCTCCTCTGTTCATGGGTTCTTTGTGAGGGAGGACAGACCAAGCTGAGAACGGTTTCAGTGCAGGATGAGGCTCACAGTTGTGAATGGAGAGGATTTAAGTGAAGACATTACTTCAAAAGAGTATCGTATCTCCTCCATTGGTATTTTCTCTTACCTACATCAGCCAGTTGATAGTAGACATCTCTGTTGTTGAACAAGGAGCCTAAAGTTGTTAGCTTGCAGCTGTGAATTCTGACGGGTAGAAAGACGCTGCAGCCTAGGGAATAATGAAAAAACTTAAGTACTTTGAGTAGATACAATGGAAAGAAGAAACTGTTGTATCCTTAAGCGACCACTGTGTAAATAGGAAAAACAGAGAAAAGCAGAGGTATTTCTATTTCTCATCTGAATAACTGGTATGCTTGTTTCCTAAGGTTCATAAAAAAAAATACGTCCTCACAGTAGAAGGCATCAGAACCAGAAGGAAGTTGTTCAGAATGTCCCACTCTGTTGCAGCGCAGCTGGAGCTGCAAAGCCTCTGGTTTCTTGTTTACTTGAAAATGTTGTCCATTTGAGGATTGTGCACGTATACAGATTTTTCGAGGATCCTCCTCCGACAAAGTGAGGATCAGATGTACTCTACATGCAAAAGAGACTATATGCTCACAGAAACATTGAGCGTACACAGAGCTAGAAAATTATATCCAGGTAAGTATTTCAGATACAGAGATGGGAAGCAAAGTTTTGAATTTGACTATCAGATCAGACACTTCCTGGACAGAAATGTGGTTCCCTAATTAACAAGAGTACGTTTCCTTATGCAAAACCCACTGGTGGTCATAAGCCATTTTTGCTTTATTAAAAAACAAGAAAAGATTGTTACAATTTCATAGAATCACAGAAAGTTTTGGGTTACTTAGAACCAATTAATGTTTCTTACAATTTTTATACTTTTTGTATGTGTCTAGAAATGTGGAGTTATCTGTTAGTTCTTGATTGTTCTCCAGATTTATTTTTCCATTCTTCTAGAAGAAAAAGAAATGTCTCAACACTCAATTTGTTCTCAGTATTTGCGTAACAGGTGTGCAAGCAAAAGTAAAGAGGATAATTTGTGCCCTTGTTATCCAGTCTCCACTTCAGCGGTGTCATTTAACAGACGCAATACTTTATAAAGGGGACTTGTGTGACCTGATGTTTCATTTCACTTTGGGAGCAGGAAGGTAAGTTGAATTTTCTTTTAATAAATCACACAGAACTTTAGCTAGAAGGCAAATATTCCTTCTCATTTCCGTGGTCATATTTAAATTTTAAAATTAAATTTTCCTTTATTATTTTTTACTTTTCTTGAATTAGAAATTTTACTATATGAGAACATGCCTGAAGGACAGCAGACTGTAATGACTGATGAAGGTCATTAAAACCAGATTAAAACTGAAGAGCTGTTTTTTCCATTTTGCTGTGTAACTGATCAGGACTCTGACTCTGCATCATAATCTAATTATGAGCTGGATGCAGTAGTCCATTCAAATGTAATTTACTGAATGACCAGAACCAGACA